AAATTTGGGGAATTTTAGCCCAAAATTTTGGGGATTTCTCCCAAAAAATTTGAGGATTTTCTGTCCCAAATTTTGGATTTTTTACCACAAATTTTTGGGGAATTTTAGCCCAAATTTTGGGATTTTTTTTTTTTCCTAAATTTTAGGGGATTTTTATCCCAAATTTTGGGGGATTTTACCCCAAAATTTGGGAAATTTTTTCCCCAAATTTTGGCAAATTTTCCTGCAAATTTTGAAGCTTTTTCCCCAAAAAATTTGGGATTTCTTTCTCCAAATTTTATGACTTTTTCCCTCAAATATTTAGGATTTTCCCCTCACTTTTGGGTTTTTTTCCCTCTGAATTTTGGGATGTTTTATTCGTCCATTTCTTGGGTTTTTTTCCGTAATTTTACTTTTTTTTTTCTCCAAATTTGGGGTTTTTCTCCCCAAACTTTGTGACTTGTGCCCCCAAATTTTTGGGATTTTTTTTCCCCAATTTTTGGGATTTTTTCCTCAAATTTTGGGATTTTTTTTCTCTTAATTTTTAGGAATTTTTCCCCTCAAGTTTTGGAATTTTTTTCCTCAAATTTTTGGAATTTTCCCTCAAATTGTCAGGATATTTTTCTCTCAAATTTCGGATTTTTTTTTCCACCACATTTTGGGATTTTTGTTCCTCAAGTTTTGGGAATTTTTTTCCTCGAATTTTTGGGATTTTTTCCCCAATTTTTTTATGATTTTTCCCCTCTTTTTTTCTTAATTTTCCCCAAATTTTTCTCATTTTTTCCCTCAAATTTTGGGATTTTTTCCTCGAATTTTTGGGATTTTTTTTTCCTCAAATTTTGGGGTTTTTTTCCTCAAAACATTGCGATTTTTTCCTCAATGTTTTGGGGAATTTTCTCTCAATTTTTAGGATTTTTTTCCTCAAATTTTGGGATTTTTTCCTCGAATTTTTGGGATTTTTTTTTCCTCAAATTTTGGGGTTTTTTTCCTCAAAACATTGCGATTTTTTCCTCAATGTTTTGGGGAATTTTCTCTCAATTTTTAGGATTTTTTTCCTCAAATTTTGGGATTTTTTCCCCCCAAATTTGGGGTTTTTTTTCCTCAAATTTTGGGATTTTTTTTCCTCAAAATATTGGGATTTTTTCCTCAATTTTTTGGGAATTTTCTCTCAATTTTTAGGATTTTTCCCTCAAATTTTGGGATTTTTTCCTCGAATTTTTGGGATTCTTTTCCTCAAATTTTGGGCTTTTTTCCCCCAACTTTTGGGATTTTTTCCCCCAAATTTGGGGTGGGGGG